ACGATTTATAAACCGTTCCATTTATGGATAGCATTATTGTTGTTAGCTCTTTTCTCAATGAACTACTTGCTAAATGTGTAAAGTGTGAGTTATTTGTGTCTTGTGATATTATCGATAGTATTAGAACGTACCTTGAAATGGAAATATTTTAATATTGAATCAAGATTGTTGACGTTAATGTAAGGCAAGTAATATATTTTAAAGTATTTAGATGGAAACAAAATATTGTAAAAGTTTGAGCTACAAATTTCTAGTTACAAACTTGCGATAAATGTATGTTAGGAGTTGTTATCATATTAACTGTACAATTTAATAATCTCCGAATACTGATGTTCCTATAGGCAATAATCTAAAGCTGCTTGCGTATTGCTGAAAATACATTCTATCCAGAAAATATTTTCGAAATTTTAGGTACCTACTATACATATTTCATTGTAAAAGGTCATTCACATAATATTATATCCCTTTATCTTTTTTCTTTCTATTTAGGAAAAAAGGTAAAAATCAAATTTGTAGGAAATTGTCTTGCAATTTCATAGAAATTCATAAAAAAGCAATTAACTGTTGTGTTTCGACCATATAAACGAAACTATTATTTTTTTGAATCAAACGCCCTATACATACATTTGTCGCTTTTTGGAATTTACGTTTTTTGAAGTTACGTTATACAGGGTGTCCCAGAATAACATGTATAACAGAAGTACACATATTCGTGGACTCAAAATAGACCGATTTAGGCTAACTCACCTATATCCCAAATCGCTTCGTTTGGCCGCTAGATGGCCTAAAAGTTCGTGAAATTTTTTTTAATTTTATAAATAACTGGAATACATATTATTCGATTTTGATTATTTTTGGGGTGTGGACTTTAGCTCTCAATCTACACATTTTGGTGTTATACAAAGTGTTTTTTTAAACTTACAACTCCTACAAAATTTATGTATGGTGATAATATTCGTTCATATTTTTTTCCTCTTTAGGGCAATAACGACAGCTATTTTTTATTTAATAGGTGATATTATTTGCAAGTTTTTGGGCCTTTTATAGATTTTTTATTAATTGGGCGGTTTGTGTACAAAAAATATTTTTTAAGTGTATACGTCATCTTGCCACACATTACATACATTATCTTAGAAGCGGAATACCTAATAAATATTTACAATGATCGTGTGTATGCTCAAAAAAGTCCACATGCTGTCAAAGTGAAACATTGTCAGCATGAATTTCGCAACAATGTTTGATTTGGGATCATTGATAGCATTATATTGGCCCTATTAATCTACCCAACAGACTGAATCTGTCTATTTTGAGTCCACGAATCTGTGGTCTTCCGTTGTATACGTTATTCTGGGACACCCTGTATATACATGTCTTATATCTGCTTTGACAGTTTGCACAATATTCTGATTTATTTAGTGACCCTCTGCAATGGAAAAAGTCAAGATTGCCATGGAACTAGTGCATGTCTATCTCTCGGCTATAAACATTACTAAACAGATCTTTAAATGTTTTATCAAGAAAAAATGCTATATTATAAAACAGATTTTATAATAACCCCCAGGTGTTCCAAACCAGGAACATATAAACGAATTTTCCTTTTAAAGGAATAATTTTATGAACCGCAAAATGTGCTAATTTGATCCCCATATAATTCTTTCTTTCGCTAAATTTATATGATCCACTGGAGAAATTATTGAACGAAGTTAGTACTCTCAATGAGGTGGGTAGCAGAGCATTACAAAAAAAACTTGACTGGAATTGATATTTTTGTCTAAAATAGGGCGAAGGAATTATAAAACACAACATAATAATAACAAGAATACAGAACTTTCATGAATGATTACAAGCCACGTGATCACCGACGTTATATAACCAACACTGCATGATTGGTAATGCCAACTAAAAATCCCTAAATTTATATTTATTATTAATATTAATGATTCATTTACAACGAACAATGACAAACCGTTGCGTGTACGCTGAAGACAATGCGATCGTCGATTGGAGAAAATGTCATGAAAAATTACTCCTGTCACCAACTGGTGAAACAAAATGTTGTGTTTTAATGAGATCTTGATCTTACTGTTTTAAAAATTTTTAATTTTGAAGGAAACCAAATTACTGTTCTAATTAAAGTTACTGGTCACATGGCTTGTAATCATTATGAAGGTTTTGTATATATTCTTAATAGATAATTTAAAGGTTTCGTTAGTAAAAGCAGCAGAGAATACCCACGCAGTGCTACTATGGTAGTTTTGACTATGTGCTGGATCAGTAAATAAACCAAAATACATTATGCAAATTATAAAAGTAAACATAGACATGTATATATTATTGTAATCGGAAAAAATAATGATAAATGTACAAGGTACTCTATTAAAAAGTTTGGTTTATATCTTCAAAATGCAATTGTTTTTTAAATATATCTTTGAAATTGTAAGAAATCATTTACTTTACTTTCATTTACGTTCATTTTTTCATAGATATAAAAGTAAAAAAGAAGGGTGAAATGTTATATGACGACCCTGCAGATTATACTACAATTTTTCTACAATTTACAAAAGACCCTAATTAATGAATGTCTGTACCACGTATTTATTTTCAAAAAAAATTGTCCCTTTCTTGAGCTATAGATGCCTTTATAATACATGTATTTGGAGATACGCGAACACTTGTATTGATATAGAAGTAAAATCACCCAATAGTGGATTGAATTGAATGATATCATTTTTCTAAGAGCTTGTAGGGTTAACTTCATAACTCATAATGCCTATAGGTACTTAGTTGTTTATATTTAAGCGCTGTATACTTTAAAGGGTACTATATATTTCAATTGAATGTAAGTTTAGCGAAAAATAATTAAAATGCATTGTATTAGGTTCATTTACCAAAGTTGTCTAAGATAGATAGAGGTAGATAATATATTTTTGCCATAGCTCAAAATCTTTCGAGACATCTTATTCATATTTTAAACTTGAACGGCAATAAATTATACAGTATTATTCAATGTTCTATAACTAGCCAATTCCTTGAAATGTCATATATTTCGATCAGTTTCCATTCTACTTTAATTGTGTTAAATTTGTTTTAAATGAACTAATAAACTGCAAAACTTTCAAGGAAATGTTTGAAACCCAGAATACGTTATCAGTTCAAATATTTAATTTTTATTTTTTTGAACAGGAAATATAACCATAGAAACCCTACCTAAATTGTTCGAAGTATGTAACACTTCAGTGAATATGAATTTCAAATATATCGTTATCGCTAAAAGAATTTATATTTATGGTAATTAAAATGAATGGAATAGATCTGATTGATTTTTGTAGTTTCAAAAAATTTTGAAAAAGTAGATATTTCATAACAAATGGTTTGCGTGCAACAAGCATTTGTAAAATTATAAAAAATGCACTGAAAATTATATTTGTCTACACTTTTCCTAGTTCTTATATGGACAATGGTTCCCCATTATCCTCTAAACTTAAATTTCTAGAAAACCATTCGATTTGTCAAAATTAACAAGTTTTCTTAGATAGTTTAACAATTATTAATATTATCATATCCTTTAAGAAGGGATAAGTATAAGAAAGTGAGAAGTAAGATAAAGACAGTGATCCCCTAAAACTATTTCTTAAGTAACATGTGGAGTTTGTATAATACAGGATAAGCTGTATCCTTAAGTCAAATTTCAAATATGAATGGGATATCTCGAAAGACTTCTAAAACACACCAAAAAATAAGATACCTACCTTTCTGCCATTTTTTTAAAAGGTATAACTTTCTTATTCATTTTCGGAAGAAACTTTAACTTCTTGAAATATGTTATATTATTCCTTCCATTTCTGTCTAATAAATGAAATCATATATTAAATATTTAATTTAAGCATAGAGTTGATAAATTTATTTTAAGTACCGAAAAAATTAGAAATACATATACCAATATATATCAAATTCTGTTGAATACCTACCTTTAGGGACTATGTCTTATTCAAAATTAATTTGGTATCTTTTAAATGTACGTCTAACTATAGAATACCTAATGCCTATGATCGCAATGTTTTGTGGCTGACTTTATCGTAAAATTTTATCAATTCGGTTTTTTCGACTCCAGGATTGCGCAGTCGATTGTATGAATTTGTGATTGTTCGGAACTATAAATAATATTTTAGGGGGAAAATGAAATGGTGACAATTATGTTACTTGACAGGATCCATTATCTGTGTTTAATAAATAAGTTACGAATGTTTGGTAATAGATATAAGAATATTCATAGAATGTATGTAAGTTAGACCTAGTTAGAATGTCCTATTTTGAAACAGCAACGATGGCAGAAATACACACATCGCGGTAGAAGCAAGAACTCAGATATAATTATATATTGAAATGTTTTGTCATTTAATATTTGTATGATAATGTAATACATTTTAAATATAATAGACTAATTGAGCAAATGTTTTATTTCCTCCTGCAAACCCATTATTTTACATATATACAGGTGTAATTTTAAATGGGGGTCATACTTACAGAGAAGCTACCTTTGACTTTCAGAAACACGTATCAATATTTTATTTTTTTCAAATTTCGTCTTGAAAATTTATTTTCCTTTCACTTTCTTTTGTAATTTTCATACCCCGCTGCATGTTAAAAACGTTAAATTCAACATTCCTGAACTCGGTTAGGAAGCTATTTAGGTATGACAAATGTTCACATAAAAATTTCTGTTCTAAACCAAGTCGTCCATCAGCTATATTAAAAATAGTACATTTAAAAAGATAAGTTCCTGTATTATAAACAATATTCAATGCTAAAACAATTTGTGCTATGTCATGCAAATATCACAGTTCACAGTCTCCTTAATTTATGCTCATTGGTAAACATTGAAATTTAAGTAGGTTTAGTAAAGAATTAAACCGGGTAGTTTGCAAAAAATGCCCTAGTTTAATTTTGGAAGAGGAAGAAGAACGAACAAATAGGGTTATATAACTATGTTTTGTTATGTTTTGTGCTTTTCTATTAACCTCAAATTTTATCAGGACCGCCAAAATAATAAATTATAAAATCTGTTTTTATCTATGATTTCTATTAAAGAGTACACAAAATGAATATATATCATCGATATTTTGTTCAGTATATGTTGCAGAATGGAACATCTACAGTTAATAATGCCATTACATATTGTAGACATGTCAGTCAAGGTAAATATTTATTATTTTTAAATACTTTTTACAATTAGTACTTTTTTATTTTAGGAAAAGTTGATAGTATGACTCATTTGAAAACATTGGTTATAGAAATAAACAGAGAGATATCAAAGCAATTTTACAAAATAGTTTTTTTCGTTTGTGAAGTGACAAATCAAAATGTAGTTATTTGGTTAAATACTAAAAATGACGATATCTCTAAACATCAGATATCCTTTTCAACTATAGAACTGGAATATTTTGATTCTATCCTTAAAGAAATTCTTAATTCTGAAGAACATCGAATTACATTTATCGTTTGTATAAATATAACTTCAACATTAACTTCACAATTTTCCAGAGACAGTGGACAAACTGTTCTCAATAAATGGTTAAAAGGAGGATATTATGTTAAACGGGGAGACTACATTCACTTAGGACCTAGAACAATATTAGAATTTACTGCATATTTAAGATCAAACTGTCCGGATTCATTATGCAATCTCTGTTCGGAAATAGTTTTTACGGTTTGTAATGAAAGCATTCCAAGTTAAAAATATGAACTTCTATTTATTTTAGGGAAAGAAATGTAATGAGTGTAATAAATTATTACATTCCCATTGTTTATCTACATATTTGAGTAATCAAAATGTATGTCCGTGTTGTCGTAACGAATGGACGCAAGCATCTGAAGAAGAAACTCAAGATGAATATATGGATACTAATGGTGTCGATAGTAATTCATATTCTGTGGAAACTAATGGTACACTGCATAATGGTAATATATTTTTTTTAATCTTTCACAAGTTGATTTTTGTTTGTATTTTATAAACTGTTAATAATTATTTTTTAATTTCATATTTTGAAAGTATTTAATTTTAATATTTTTTATGCACAATTAAATAATTTTGTCACATATGCATACTGGGTAATGTAATATCCATAGGTTCACTTGAAAATGTAACAATTTTTTTTCATTTATATTCCATCAAAATTATGTTTTAAACGCTTCTATGCTATCTTAGTTAAAATTTGTTTGATCCAAGCCAAAATTTAAATTTTTTTTTATTGTATTTATTAAATTTTTCTGTGGTTGTGGTGTGCTGATCAATTCATAAGAAACACTTATTTTAGTAGCTTTCCATTATCTTTTCAATGTTAAAAATGTAATTTTCAAAGAACTCACTTCAGCAATTTTTAAGCCATAAAAACTAAAATTTTTGTTGGCTGCCTGAAACTTAAGTTTTCTGATTCTTTAAATAAAATAAACTGATTCGTCATTTTCTCTAGATGGACAAGAATAAAAATAAATAAAATAAAATATATTGTCTTTCCTAAAATAAATTTTTACTTAAATTGGAATTGGATTTGATAGAAAAATTATGAAATGAACTGGTAGAAAAATGTTTTGCTCATGAAATAAGTTTTTTATCTATTTTATTCACTATTCAATATGACGTCACTAGCACTAGCACTAAATTAGAAATGAAAGCTGTAGAAGTGACTTTATGGTTTGGGTCACCAAACCATAAAGACACCAACCAACATGTCAACAAACACCAACAAAATGTCCTCAGATGCANAAATAATTTTGTCACATATGCATACTGGGTAATGTAATATCCATAGGTTCACTTGAAAATGTAACAATTTTTTTTTCATTTATATTCCATCAAAATTATGTTTTAAACGCTTCTATGCTATCTTAGTTAAAATTTGTTTGATCCAAGCCAAAATTTAAATTTTTTTTTATTGTATTTATTAAATTTTTCTGTGGTTGTGGTGTGCTGATCAATTCATAAGAAACACTTATTTTAGTAGCTTTCCATTATCTTTTCAATGTTAAAAATGTAATTTTCAAAGAACTCACTTCAGCAATTTTTAAGCCATAAAAACTAAAATTTTTGTTGGCTGCCTGAAACTTAAGTTTTCTGATTCTTTAAATAAAATAAACTGATTCGTCATTTTCTCTAGATGGACAAGAATAAAAATAAATAAAATAAAATATATTGTCTTTCCTAAAATAAATTTTTACTTAAATTGGAATTGGATTTGATAGAAAAATTATGAAATGAACTGGTAGAAAAATGTTTTGCTCATGAAATAAGTTTTTTATCTATTTTATTCACTATTCAATATGACGTCACTAGCACTAGCACTAAATTAGAAATGAAAGCTGTAGAAGTGACTTTATGGTTTGGGTCACCAAACCATAAAGACACCAACCAACATGTCAACAAACACCAACAAAATGTCCTCAGATGCAGTGGGAAAAAGGAAATATTTTTTTGCATTTCTTTTTGGGCCCACAGTCTGTCCTGGGTTCAAACATTTCTTTCAGCAGCCCTGACAGGGCGCAACTTTAAGAATAATTTTCCTAATAAATTTCTCGAAAATGGCATGTTACCTACACAAAATATATTTTTTTCTTCTTAACAAGGCCTTTATTTTTTAGAAATAAATTTGAAATATGCTCTAATTATTTTTTAATTAAGCTAGGCTATTTCATAAAAATAAATGCATCATTTTCAGTTCAGTAAAATAATATGCAAATGCTTTATGCTAATAACCATGATATTTTCGGATTCGTCTTCCAATTTTCGACAAATTACTATGTTTTTCGAGTAAAACTTAAAAAACGAACTGAAAACACACTTCGGTATTTGAATGTAATGCTTTTTAAAATTACATAGTGGGCTGCAAATACGAACAACATAAATAAGGCCTCATGGAAACTAGTAAATTTTGAGTGCAATAAAATATTGCGTACTAAGGTTAGTAATACTCTAACCCCAGATGACTTTAATATGTATTTTAGTTCGATAGCAAACAATATTAAGAATATTCAACTTGCCTCAGATACACATTCAATGTTTTTCAAATTTCTCCCCCAAGTGAGTTGTAACTTCTTTTTGTTCGGTACAACTGTTGACGAGGTTCGTTCCATAATCCTTAGGCTAACAAAATCTACAACAACTGATGCATATGGTCTAAATGATGAATTTTTAAAAGAAACGATTGACTACTTGGCTGAGCCACTGGCATGTCCGATAAATATTTGTTTTAGTCACGGTGTTTTCCCTGACATTTTTAAAATATCAAAAGTATTACCTATACATAAGAAAGGTGATTTAAATGAAATTGGTAATTACAGACCTATTTCCATCATTGTCATATTTGGCAAAGTCATGGAGGTAATGCTAAAAAATAGGTTACTTGAGTATTTTGAAAAATACAAACTGTTGCATTCTGCCCAATTTGGATTTCACAGTAAAAAGTCTACTACCAAAGCATTATTAAGGGTTGTAGAGATGATTGTCAGTGGGTTTGAGAGGCATGAACAATCCCTCCTGACAATGTGCGATCTGTCGAAAGCTTTCGACTGTGTTTCGCATAAAATTTTATTAAACAAGCTTTCATTTTATGGAATCAGGGGTACACCTCTGAATTTGTTTAAATCTTATTTAGTAGGTAGACAACAATTTGTTGATCTTAATATTGGTCATGAGTCAATATTAGAGAGTGTTGAACATGGGGTGCCTCAGGGTTCTGTCTTGGGACCCTTACTCTTCATTATTATGCTATTTTGGGGAGAGAAATTGCAACATTGTACTTTTTGCGGATGATACCACTTTTATAAGCTCATATGCGAATGTTGCAGATATAAATCAGTCTGCGGCTCACTTGCTAGCTAACGCAGAAACATGATTCTCGACAAATGAATTGCAGCTTAATAAAGCTAAAACCCAATATTTGACAGTCTCCAGCAATAGGCGTTTTGTGAACGGCAGCCATTGCAGACTGCTAGGAATTGCTCTAGATGACACTCTAAATTGGCATCAACACATAACCGACCTTAGTACAAGACTGTCTAAAGTGCTTTTTCTCTTAAGACAGTTTCGTAAATTATTGAGTCCACATATTTTAATAAATGTATACTTCGGTTTGTTTCATTCTCTGATCAGCTACGCCACTGTCTTGTGGGTCAATGTAGTTGATTCTAAAAAAATCTTTTGTCTCCAGAAACATGCAGTCTTGCAAACGTGGGTAGCAGTAAATATTGCAAACCACTGTTCAAAAAATTTCGTATATTACCACTGCCCTGTATATTTATATTACAAACTTTAATGGAAATACATGCTCGCAGGAATATCGTTCCCCGGGTGTCTGACCGCCATAATTATAATACACGAGTTGCTGTGGCGGGTCATCTACTTGTACCTCGATCCAGATTGGTCAAATAGGAAAGAAATATTCTAAACATTAAATTATATAATAAACTACCGTGCCATATAACGGATATGAATGAGGGATGCTTCAAGATTAATATTAAAAAAAGTCTTTTATCTCACTGTTTTTACTCTGTAGATGAGTATTATCAATCTAATATTTTCTAGATTATGTGGGTCCTGCAAAGTTCAACTATCTTTGGTATTTTGTGTGCTTTTATATTTATATTTATTAGTGTTCTAATTCACTTCACTGTTGACTGCTGTGTGCTATGTGTATACAAACTATGCCTTTTGTTTTCTTGTATTGACTTGCTATAAACCATGTACTTGTGTAAAATAGCTAAATAAACTATCTATCTATCAATAGCACCATTCTGAGCAGTTAGAGGAAAGAATAAATAATGCTTTTCATCAGATTCAAGCAACGATAAATTTCGAACAAATTACATTTTCGTTACTAAAAAGATGTCGGGCCTGTGTTTATGGAAATGCAGGTATTATTGAGCATTTACTTACTCAAATAAAATAATTAAAATGATGACTAATGTTATTAACTTCTTTATTCGAATAAATAACAGAATGATTAATGCTTGTCATGTCATTTAATTAAAAGTGTTTTCACAGTTGGTTTTTAAGTTTTAGAAAATCAGGCTTTTTTAGAAAAAGATAAGGAAGTAGTAATTTGTAGAAAATTGAAAGACGAATCCGAAAATATCATGGTTGTTACCGTAAAGCAGTAGCGTACTCTTTTATTTAGAAAAATATGCCACCAATACCCTGTATCTCCACTACTGGAGCATGTAAATTTTAGGAAAAGCCTTCAGATTTTGGACAATATTTACATAAATGTATGTGACCAATTTCAAATTATTTCACTTACTAGTTTTTAAATTATTTAAAAAAATTAAAAATATTTTTTGAAGTTTAATACCCTGTATCTTTTTAACGAAGCGTCCTAGATAAAAACTTTATTGGAAAGACTTCCTTTAAAATTCACCAAAGAATACGAGGTTTCATTTTTGGTCACAATATTCCATAAAATGAGAAATAAAAAAATATTTTCTTGTCCACTTTATTAGTGGACGTCCTTTGTTTTAAAAAATGTATTTTAAATTATTTAGATGAAGAGACCTCACAAGACAGCAGCACTCAATCCGAGCACATGTCACAAGTACTTATTTCAAACAGTACTAGACGTAAGTGTAAAAGTTAATATCTTTTGGCTAGACTAAGAATAAAATTAGATGACATTTCTATATTGCTGATTAATTAGTAATTCTCCACTTTTTTTTTCAATTTTGAAGGTAACCAAAGAACCAGACATTCACAACAAAATGATATCAGTGATATTGATGAACCAGGCCCAAGTACACGAAAGCGGCACAGGAGATATGTATCAGCTAGAACTAAATATTAACAGAAATATTTGAAGTACAAATAATGTTATGTTGTTTGTCTTAACTGTATTTTTAAGAAATGAATTATATTAGAATATATTTTTATATAAATTGTTTTTTTTTTCTTTTTCTTCAAAACCTTGTACCTGATATATTGTTGTTTAAAGACATCACTACCCATTGTAATATTAGTCTCTAACTAAAAAAAGCTACGTTTGATCTGCTAACGTACTGATATTATTTCGTCAAAAAAACAGATGTCATTTCATCATTTAGATTAAAAAAAAGTACTCACAGTGAGTGTATTCTAAAAAACAGCTTCACATCAAATATTAACCTCTTGAACGCTTATGATGTATACAGGGTGTTTCAGTTCGAGTGAATCAAACTTTAACCACAAATAGAACTTAATAAATAATTCAGAATTGCCTTATAAAGCAAGGGTCTAAGTCTCACCGTTTTCACTGTACAGGGCCGTATTGGTCGGTTTTTAAAATAATATTTATGAAATCTTTGCTATGCTTATAACAAACTGATTCATTTGGTGTGGTGTTAACATTTACATATGTGCATAATTTACTGTAAAATTTACAAATTTTTGTAGGTCAGTGGTGTAGGAATGGGTAGTAAAGCGGGATTGTTTTATCCCAACTTCTACGCCAATGACCTAATAATCATTTGGGATTCATTTTTAGATTCCGTGGACAATTCTAAACAAAAAAGGTATATGTACTTGTTGAATAACGGTATAGTGTATCATTTTATCGAAAATTTCAGTTGAATGGGAGACCATTCTTCTGATAAGAAATTTAGTTTCTTAAAGGATCACCTTAGAATTCAAAACAATATTATATAATGTCAGCAATACGACTAGTAAATTTTAAATATAATCCCTTGTGTATTATTTATTGTATTCATAATGCGGTGAATTCCTTCTCTGAGCTCATCTTTTTGTTGCGCTGCAGTGCGGTGGACAGCATGTTCAATGGCACCTACTCTAAAATTTCATTTGTATCATTCTGGAGCAATTATAGGTATCCTTGCTCATTCAACGGTCCGTTTGTTTCAAACAGATATAATTCCTTTAGAAAATTACACCTACATATTAATTTTAAATCTGCACTGTGCCTCCATTATAGTATCCGTACACAATGATTGCCATGAATGAACAACTAAGCAACCATAGACTTATGTCTCATCAGGAACTGTCATTTTATTGTTAGTGTTTGTAAAATAATGGATGAATATTCAAGATTTTCTTATCATTCAACTGAGATTTTCGGTAAAACGACACCATATACGGATTTTCAACAAGTATACCTTCTTTATCTAAAATTGTCCACGGAATCTAAAAATGAATCCCAAATGGTTATTAGGTCATTGGCGTAGAAGTTGGGGTAAAAACATCACGCTTTACTACCCATTCATATGCCACTGACCTACAAAAATTTGTATATTTTACAGTAAATTATGCACATGTGTAAATGTTAACACCACACCAAATTTTAATCAATTTGTTATAAGCATAGCAAAGATTTCGTAAATAACATGATTTTAAAAACCAACCCGATACGGCCCTGTACAGTGAAAACGGTGAGACTTAGACCCTTGCTTTATAAAGCAATTTTGAATTATTTATTGGGTTCTATTTGTGGTTAAAGTTTGATTCACTCGAACTGAAACAACCTGTATAATTGTCATGAGCAAAGTCAATGAATAGTGATTATTTCAGATATATACACTGTAAAATAATTTGTGTATGACGGAAAAGTTCGGTTGCGCATATATATTGTATACTAAGGTATATAGCGACTAGCTTGGTGTAAGTTGTTTTACTTCTTTGGAACAGTGGCACAGTGGTTATGGAAATATTATTGTATCTCATGTATTTCACGAGTTCTACATACATATCTATAACAATTTATAACGATTTAGCAACTATATTAACTCACGACATGGGGTCAGAACCAATGGATGTTACGTGGATGTATTCAGGTAATGCACATCCCACTTTTCCATTTACTGGTTCCAAGGTGTTGAAAGCAGAATGCGCCCTCAGTCAGTTGAGGACTGTCGTAGTAGCATATTGAAATAAGTGCCGCTATTCCGAAACCCGCCAGCTGCAAGCTGAGGAGTATAGTCCGGTTTCTTCTTGCAAAGGAAAAGGCGCAGTTCCAGATTTTTAACGAAATCAAACCCTTAAAGGGGAGGGTGTGATGTGCTAATGTGTACAAGTGGTGTCGCGAGTATAAATCTGGTAGAACGCCTTTTCTTTACATTGACCTTGAAATGATCTTGACTTGGCCTAAATGTGACCTTGTAGGGCTAAGCTATCCCCAAATTCAGTTTCCCCCCATATACACATTGGTTGAAATTCAATACAAGCCTTTTCTTTAGTTTCATACTGAAATGACCTTGAATCGACTTGAAGGTGACTTTCAGGGTTATGCTATCTCCGGATTCAGATTATGCGAGCCCAGAACCCTATACACTCACTGATCAAAATTCAATACAAGTGTTTTCTTCAATTTGACCTTGAAACGACCTTTACCTGACTTCTAGCTAAGCTATCCAAGAATTCAGGTTCAGCGATCCCAAAAGCATTGTACCTACTGATCAAAATTCATTACATGCCCTCAGTTTTTGAATCCATCAACTTGAAACTTCGTGAAGCTTACTCAGTCCTACAGCCAAAATCACACACTTCCTCCCTCTATATCTCTGAAACTATCTATAGGATCACTTTGGGCCCGTGACAACTTTTTATCAGAATGCCGAGAACTATAACATATCACAATTCCAGTCAAATCTAGCAGGACCCAATTTCCAATCATTTTGTGCGGGGTCCTTTCTAGTTTTCGGAAATCTTCAAATGCGTTTTTCTCAAAACGATATTTTTTTGATTCACAGAAACTCTAGCTCAATAGGTTAACAACCGATCGTTATGAAAATTGAAAGTGTGTTTCTTTATGAAATTACAAAGGACATGGAAAAAATTGGGATGATATAATTTTAAGGCTGTTTTTTATTCAAAATAAGTAAATGTAAAAAAAAATGGTGAAAACGTGTCAAAACTTGAATTTTCACAAAGTATACCCACAATGAGGTTCATATTCTTAGAAAACATGCAGGAAAATAACCTTTTGCTTTCAGATCAAAATTGCAACCTCCACATTTCCTATGAACAACCAACTCGGACGACGACCATCAGTGGTCAACAGCTCATAACTTCAGCATTTTCAACACAAGTTACTTGAAAAAATTTGTAAATGTAGCTCAAAATATTGATAAAATAATGTCAATATGTCATCAAATTCTAATTAATTTGTCCCACTCAAAAAAAATCATGAAAAACGCCTGAAAATCAGCCTCTTAATTTGGTTTTCCCCCTTAATTTCACTGAATATTTAATATGCAAATGCACATTGTTACGTTTTATCGCTTGTGTTAACCCACAAGATAATTATTTTAAATATTGGTTTCGCTGGTTTCGTGCATAGAGGGAAGGATATAATAAAAACAATTCAAACAATTAATATAATTTATTGTCTATTTACAACTTGTACTTGATGAAAATTGAATGAAAACACAATATAAAATACAATAAAGGAAAAATGTTGAGTATACGCGAGTTGGTAAGTTGTATAAACAAAATGCGTGGCAGGACTGACAACAGATCAAGAACAAATATTTGCCAAAAAATATATATTAAAAAAATATCAAACTGGACATACTTTTTAAAAATGTGCCTTAATTAATAACAAATCACAATCATATTCTTGCACAATGTTGATATTACACAGAAGCAAAAAAAATTATTTTAAATAGCATGATATAAAGTGTATAAATAAAATATAATCATGTAAATGTATCACTTTTCTCTGACCCACTACTTTTAATATTTATGGCAATAATTTCTCTCAATCTGAAAAGGAGAATTAATTTTTATTACTTAACTTTTAAAAGTTTCTTCGCCGCCTCCACCACATCTTTTGGTTGAGGCAAAGCAATAATTTCTAAACTTCTCGTATATGGCATGGGGACGTCAGCACCAGTGATTCTAATGGCAGGTTGGTCAAGGTGGTAAAAGGTTTCGCTCTCCATTATCCGGGCTAGAATTTCTGCCCCAATGCCACAGGATGGCCATCTGTGACATAACAGGTATTTCATTAATTAGTTTTGCAATCAAAAATAGCATTGTTTTCAGATTCAAATTTACAAATTTTAGTCCAAACCTAACTTGAAAGACGAGCATTCGGAAATTTTGTGTTTGGAAATACTTTCAAGAAAAATACCAGAGGAAATACTTTCAATTGTCAAATTTCCCACAGATTTATAATTAAAAAGAAAAAAATCAGAAAATTATCGCATACAAATCGAGTCTTACACTTATATAAATACAGTGTCCCAATATTTCATGTACAATTTAATTAAACTTACCTATACCGAAAATGGCTTTGATTAACCCCTAGAAGCATCAATGTTCACAAAATATGCTTTATCAGATTTAAATAAAATTTGTTATGCTGTTACTTGTGTGTAAATATTACTTTTTGACGTAATAATGTAGCGTTGGAAGAACTTTGACTATGATGGACACTGTTTAATTCTTAACTCATTAACGAGCTGTACTCTTCACCTCAACTTTGTCATGTAGTAAAGTTAAAATTATTTTGACTAAATTTATGTGTGGTGGCTACATTTTGTGAAAATACGGTTAAGATTAGAACTGTGAAATAATTATTCTTGACTGGATATTTAACTTAAGTTTTTATTTATATTCAGATGAAAATTAATTAACTTCATTAAAAATGTGTAGAATTGATTCTGTGTGTAAAACTATTTGATACCAGAATACAAATACTTGTATATTTATTTTGTTTTTTATATTTGTCAATATTTTTTTTATTCTTCCTTTTTTTATTCACCATTTCCCAAAACCGTTGAATAATTTTTTTTAATTCATTTCAACAGGACAGTTTATTAGGTAAATTTTGCGCTCAAAATATGTAGGACTACAACACACTAAGCTCCAATGCAGCAGCTGTGTTTTTGATGATTTTGAGAAATCCTTAATGAGGATTTGTAGTAAACCACAGTAGAAGTTCTATAAATGCCACATAACTCGAACACCATTTCACACCAAATCGACCACTTTTAACCCTGACCTGTTTCGATTTGGCTGAAACTTTTTTATTGTTTTCTACACCATTGAAAATAGATCAAAATTATCTGGACCTATCCTTCACTTGTTTTTTTTTCTTATTAAAAAAACTGACATTCATGTTTTTTCGTTTTCTATTTTTTATCGATTGAAAAATTTTTTTTTTTTTCAAATTTGGCTTATTTCACAATACCATTTTGAAAATTTTTAAAAATGTATATAGAACTCCAAAATTGAAAAAATTTATTGTATGCAGCGATTGATGACAATTTCAAAAAGTCAAAAGAGGATGGTTTCAAAATGATTTATTTGAGTTCCGATGTTTTGCTTGTCTTTTTTTAAAGCCCACTGTTCGTCCAAAAATGGACCAAATAACAACTTTTTTTCATTTTCTTTGTTTTTGGATGTAGTTTTCGAAAAAAAATACAAAAAATTAATCAAAAAGAACAAATTTTTTCCTAAACTTAAAAAAAAAATTATGTTTACCACTCAATTATTTCTTTCATATATATTTTTTCAATTTTGGGATTCTATTTACATTTTCATAAATTTTCAATGGTGTGTGAAATTTTTTTCAATCATTAAAAAAAATAGAAAACGAAAAAACCTGAAAAAAATTTGAGGATTTATAAAAATATCAGTTTTTTATAAGAATAAAAAAAAAATTTTAATGGTAATTATCGAGAAATTTTCTTTTTTTTTTTCGAAAATGAAAAAAAAACAGTGAAGATAAGTCCAGATAATTTTCAACTATTTTTTTTCAAAAAGTACATTTAAAAACAAAAATTTTGAAAAACAAAATGTCCCGATAACTCAATTTTTGAAAAAGTTGTTTATTTAAAGAAAAGCTATTTATTTCAAAAATTCATCTTTTTTGTCGAGTGAAAAAATTTGAAAAAATTCTCAGAGGTTTTCTATGGCAATGGTAGAAAACAACAAAAAAGTTTCAGCCAAATTGAAAGGGGTCGATTTGGCGTGGAATGCAGTGACGAAAATAGGAGAAAATATTCCCACTGCTAATTAAATTTGTTCATATTTCTCTTGTAGATGACCTTAAATTTTTGCTCTTTGTATATTTTTGTATTCCTTAAGATTTTCATACACTACACTGTTGTGTGAGTCACCATCAATTAATTTTCTATACAAATCTTATTTAATTATGATCAAAAATATGATCTACTGGATAATAAAAAAATATTAATACTTTGTAGAGTTCAGAAATTTGTAATTCCATGTTCATTTATGATTATTGCTATTTTTAATAACACGATTTATTTTAAAAAAAATTAATTATACTCCTCATTTCTCTCATTCTGTAAATTGTGACTATCAAATTTTACACCCTGTGATTATTGTAATTGTGTTATTAAATTACATGTATTCTGTGAGATGTAGTATTATCTTTTAACTAGTTTATAATTTGCGGAATGACGAAACTGAAAAAAAAACATCAACATGTTTTTAGCATTCTCAAAAACTCCACTTGTAAAAAATTTGGATGCAATATATTTACATTGTGAAAGATATAAGAATAAATTTGATTTTAAAACCATAGAAACCATGATGTGTAGGAAAAAAGTGGATTAAGGGAATCATAAAAAGTTACTTACCCTTGTTCCACGGAAATTAGATGATTCGTTTTAACAACAGATTGTGTAATAGTATCAATATCAAGTGGTCGTAAAGATCTTAGATTGATAACTTCAGCTTCGATGCCTTTACCAGCCAGTTCCTTAGCTGCTTCCAATGAAATTTCAACTGCCTTAGAATGAGCGACTAATGTTACATGTTTACCTAAAAAGTAAATTCATACCATCTTAGAAAATAACAAGTTGTTCCTTAATTTTTAGATGACACTATTGTGTCTTTTTACTTCTGTTTATCATTACATTTCCTGAATTTTACATGCCTGTTGAATATACAGAAAATCGAGTACGGTACTATAAAAATAATCACACCCTGCAGAATACTTTTATGAAACTGTTAACACATAGATCAAACATAATTATTGAGTAGGTTTTTTTTTAAATTCTCGACAAAACAAGAAAGGCACATTGCGATGTTTACATGAGTGCCTATGACTTCCATGTTCTTTCACTGTGAAAAATTAAACAAATCTGTATTTCAACATTTTTATAGCTTAGATAGATTTTCTTGTTCTATCATTGTCTTATTAAAAGTGTGATTTATTGTCTATAAAATGCCAGCCTTAAGGACTAACCACCTCCTTAATTATATTATTTATTGACTAACTTTATTAAACATTTGTGTTGCCTTCTGTAGAGTTTCCAAGAAAATAGTGGTCATGCAGCAATCACATATTCCTCACATAAAAATAATTGAATTTAAATCAACTTCCAGAGTATTCAAATTTTACTTTAAAATAATTTTTGATTAATAGCTGAAAACTGATATAGAATATTTAATTCTAATTTGGCACACGTTATAACGGCACAGGAAGAAATAAAAGTCATCTTCAAACATTTCACTAGCTGCTTCAATGGTATACACGTGCCCTTTTTTTAAAAATATTTTCCCTGCTTTTGAATCTATTGAGAATATCAACTGCAGTTCTAAATATTCTGATTTCTCATAAAACATACCTCTTCTCTTAAAATTGCTAATTTCAAATAATAAGAGAAGATTCAATTTGCTTCTCCGAAAAAAAAAGTAGAAGCTTAAGATATTAATTGACTGGGAAAAACATTTCTACTGTTTATTACACCTTTTTTTTGTTCTCTTAAGGACATGAATCGATTGTGAGTTTGAAAGTTAGGACAATATTATCTTTTGGAATCCTCTCAGGCTCTGCTTCTGAATGAACTCATTCATGTATATGGACCCGGAGTAAAGGATATTTTGTAACAATCGATCCGAATCGATCCATCTCTTTAGAAGAATAAAATATAAACATAGATGCTAAAATTTTTCGTTTCCCAGATGGTAAATTTGATATTTTAGACTTGTTTTGCTTTTTCAAGGTAGCAAACAGATCTTGTTTTTATTCAAAAGCAATTTTTAGAGAAATTGCCAAGATGGATTTGTTGTGTGAAATCAACAGATAATTCAGAAATTATGTTAATTTCCTGAAGAGACCCATAGGTGGGAAAAATATTTTCAACTAATGGACCCATCTGTATGCTACTAATGTGGGAAATGAAATGTTTGATGATGATTTATACTGCTTCCCATTCCCATGTGAATCAAATTTGAATCAGATACCTTATATCAGCGGTATTCAAACTGTGCTCCGTGGAACCCTGAGGTTCCCAACAACCTCTATGGGAGTTCCACGACTGTCAAAAATTCAAAATTTTTAAATTAACAATACCAATGCTACAAAATTCAAAAAAATTTATACTCTTCCTTAAAACTAGTATTTATAAATATATTATATAATCAGTAAAAAATATTTTTCTAGATGTGGGGGTTCCGCAAGTCATAAAAGTTTGAAGACCGCTGCCTTATATTGATACTCGGACAATAACGAAAAATCATTTCAAAAATAAGATTTTAATACAGTCACTTTTAAACAAAGCATTTTTAGACAAAGTTGACATATTCAATTGTTTTATCTGAAGAAGCTGTAGTTACTGTACGACCACTGTTTTCTGTACACTCTTTATAGTTCACAGCTGTACCAATTTAATTTTTCCTGCTAAAACTAGAGAAACAGTAATAGGGACTTGGGAAAAATTTGAACAGAATATTACTCAGTGTGATCTGAAACACCAATTTTGTAATACCAATATACAGTGTGTTCCAGGTATTTGGATACTCACAGCACATTTTTAAGTAAATAGTTTTAAATTTTTTGATGTGGTGGTTTTTCTCCATATCCCAATTACTAAGTAATACTTACTTGATTTGTTATAAGTGATTTAACAATATTATTATACAAACACAAAAACAACTGTGTTCATATAAAAACTAATTTTAAACAATTTGCTATCGATACCTAAAAACTTTTTCATAATTATTTGAAAGTTACAATATTCTGCTGCTATAAAAATTGGTATATTTGTGTTTCATCATTAAAATTAGTTTTTTCTTACAAAAATCCTTAATACTACTTTTATATTTTTTTGTAAATAATAAAAGGTTGTTAGATTAATTAGATTAGATTGATAAACAAAAAAGTTGAACAGAACAAACTGTACATATATAAACAATTGACTTCTAAACAAATTTTAATTCTATAAACAATTACTTATTTGTACTTATCTGTAAGTCAGGCAATAATTTAAAATTATAAATAAATAAGCTTCCACTTATATCAGAAAATAAATACATATAATCTCAACAGAATATTATTTAGTCTTCTCCTAGATACCAGATTAAGTTATTTGCCTTAGATATGTATATTATTTATTTATGAATTTCATTATCACATATAAACAGATAAACGGAAAGCCATGAAAGTACTGCTTTGTAAGATATAAAAGTGTAATTCGGGATTATGACAACTAAATCAAAAATTACTTAGGTGCTAAAATAACTTACCAGGTCTTTCTATTTTTGCTTTACCAATTGGTAGGACAAAGTCCTTACTTAAAGCTTCGTCCGAAACGGGATATTGAACCCCATACAAAATTTCATTTTCTAGGAACACTACTGGGTCCGGGTCTCTAATGGCGGCTTTTAAGAGACCTCTGCAGTCTTCTGAATTATATGGGGATATTACCTACAAATGAATGAAATAAATGTTGGGACAAAAGTTTTATATAATTTAAATACAGTATGTATAAGTAATTTAATATAAAAAATTATAAAAACAAATTTTTCAGTTGCCCCTAATTTATTCCATTTTCCCATGTAAAAAATTAAAAAATTTTATAGATACTGAATTGTTAACGTCATCATGGAAATAGGTCTTTCTACCAATACAATAATTCTAATATTTTGTAACACTTCCAACACAGATAAGAAAAAAACAATGTTAGAAATATGTGAGGGGGAAACCGCTAGCCAAAATTTGTACAATAAAATATTCTCATTAATAAAAATAATTAATTACTCAAATAGTAGTCAAATAATAAAGATACCAGCGTGTGGGTAGAGATAACGTATGCGTGCATCTTACATGTATCTAATGTAAATAATTGTCTTAATATCCAACCAAATGTTACTGAAATATTTGTACAAGTAATCCTGCAGTTTTTCTTTTGAAAATATGTAACACAAATTTATTTAAAATTTACTTATCTAAAAAAGGCCAGATTTTATCTTAATAGCCAGCTCATTAAATAAATTTTAAAAAAAAGTAAGGTGTTACATAAGCAGTTTCCCCGCATAAAATATAAAATGAAAAATGTTACATCATTTATATGTAAATATCTATATTTATGTATAAAATAAATAGCCCAGAATTTAGACACAGCAGATAGTAAAGTGATAAAAAAATGGCTCTCGAAAAACCAATATACTTAAAACATATCGATCGAAAGACATGTCAGAAGGTTAATGTTATTACTATCACTGATAAGGAGACGATACATAGACACAAAGAATTTTTATAATAGTATTTTTTTTTTTAAAGTTTACACTTGAGTTTGCAGCAGTAGGCAAACAATTTTTTTTTGTCAGCAATACTACAGTAGACTTTTATTTTCAACTGTTATCGTGAATATAACGTACTTTAGAAAAAGTTATTAAAAATATACAATTAATATTATAACAAATATATTTTATTAAATTGACTCTAAGGACAGCACATATTTCTAAATTTTTAAATTTGAAATTACAATTTATTTTATTCAAAATTTAAAAACATTATTCTACAATTGGTTTAATGCTTGATGTACTGCATTTTTTTTTTAATATTAGAGAAGAATATTGTAAGAAAATATACGAGCCCAGGCTCATAATAGTTCGGCCGGTCAACGTTTTCAACTAAATACTTTAATAATCTATGAGTTATGCAGAAATAACGAAATATTTCTGAAAATCGCTTTAACTACAGTAAAATATAAACTTTTTAGTTACAAAAATGAACANTGTTAACTATGTTTTCCTCAATTTGAATTTTGTCAAAAGTGATTATATTTAGTAAATTGATAGTCTATACTTTATTACAAGTGAGGTAGTTTTAAGGAAATCTTTCATCATTTTGGTAGAATGTGTAATTTATTCAAGTATTTAATTAAAAACGTTGGCTGGCCGAACTATTATGAGCCTGGGCTCGTATAAACTAATAAAGTAATTAGATAATAAATGAAATTATACCAGAACAATTGAATAAGCTGTTTAATGGGTGTAGAATAATATTACATTACTAGATTTCATATATAAAAAAAAACTGGCAACAAATATAATAAAATTGGAATAAAAAGTGTGAACTTTATAATTTTAAGGAAGTTATAGTTTACACATATATTTTCAATATTATATTCTATATTATACTTATATTTAGGTGCTTATTATTATTTGTATTACCTACCATGTTTATGTTATGCTAATGGCACATACACCTAGAAATTGGAACATCCTGTATGTTTTGAGTGATATAGCTTTTATTTTAATTTAGTTTTGAAAAATGTTTGAGTTTGATATCAAAACTGGTTTTTAAATATTCCAAAATGTCTATCACAATGTAACACAGAGGAGCAGTGAACTTTTGTATATAATATACAAAACAATTACGTCTTGCATGAAAAAATAAGAATTAACATTTTTTTATCTGATTTGATGCATTTCATAATAAATGTAACACTTAATTACTAAATCCATACCTAACAAACATGTACATTAATTATATAGGTTTATCTTTACCTTCAATCCTGGGCAATGGGCATACCAAGCACCATAACACTGAGAATGTTGTGCAGCCACACCAGCTGCTGCCCCATTCGGCCCTCTGAATACAATAGGTACATTAACTCTTCCTGCAGACATGTAAAAAGTTTTTCCAGCAGAATTTACAATTTGATCTATGGCTTGCATAGCAAAATTAAACGTCATAAATTCACAAATTGGCCTCAAACCAGCGAATGCCGCCCCAGTAGCAATACCTACAAATTACAGGTAAAATTTAATTTCTGTACTTAAAAAAATATTATTAACTATTTGTTGATGTTATATAAGGTTACCTTTTAATCCCAGGTCATCATAGACACAAAATGATTTAAATTAATACAATCAGTATTATAGTCCATTTCCAGTATGAAATTCACTATATATGTAATGACATTGTGTTTAATAATGACACCTTAAAGGTAACCATATATGAATAATTATTATTAAACAATATCTATTAAGTAAACAACAAGCCACACACCACTTCTTTGCTATAATAAACATTGTTTAGAAATATTTTGCAAACTAAATCTAACCTGTAAAACCCATTTCAGTGATTGGTGTATCAATAACCCTTTTGTCCCCGTATTTCTTCCAAAGCCCTCTCGTCACTTTATATGCACCATCATATTGTGCTACCTCTTCACCTAAAATAAAAACCCTTTCGTCTCTTTCCATTTCCTCATCTAATGCAGAGTTAAGGGCATCTCTTACAGTCATTGCTTTCGCAGCGGCAGGTTTTGTGGTTGCAAAGTTTCTTCTGGCTATTAAGTTCACTTTTGATAGTATATTTTTGGATTTAATTGTGGCCATATTTGTTAACTAAACTAGAAAGGAATATAAAAAAAGTTACTTTCCAAGTTCAAGATTAATAAAAAAAAAATAGAACTTACAATTTTGATTCAAGGTGATAGAGGTCGTTGGGACGAGATGTGTGGCAAAGGATCTACCAAATGTATGGTTATCAGTTAGTTAGAAATTTAGAATAACTATACGTAACAGGACATGTGACGTTCACCAGAATTTCATCGTCTGACAATGAATTATACGTCAATCTTGGCACTAATGTTAGGTTAGGTTATATCATTTACTCAGCGAACTGTTTGTTCGACCTCAACGAATATAGTTTCATCCAAAGTGATTAAATTTTCAAAAGTTAGATGTCACTCTCACAGTCGAAAATTTCGTAGACGGACTACGTTCAGTATTGACAATTACATAACATTTTCGACGGCACCTGGTGGCAAATACTAAAATTATGACGGAACGAAAATGTTTTGGTTACATAGTTAGGTAATTAAGTTATGAAGGATTTTTCAGTTTCATTAGTGGAAGTTAGTTAATTGTGAGGCAATAGTAATGTCACATACGTTTTATATTTAACACATTTCCTGATTTAAGATTAAATAGAGAGCAGAGCTATCCAAAATATACAAATTATATTGATTTAACGTAATAATAAATGCCATTGTACTGATATTTCCCATTGAAAAGCTTCGGAGAAATCTAAAACTAAGTGTCAAAGTCAAACGTAATCTAAGAGATTACTCGTATCAGAAAAGACGATTGTGGTGTGGCGCCCTCCTCAAAGTCGTGATAACTGGTTTTCCAGATTTACCATGTTTGATGCTTATACTGAGTGTTTTGAGAAATGTTACCGTAAATTCAAAAAGCTGATACAATATTAAAACATTAGACAATTTTTTTCCTGTAAATGATGTCTCGTTATTACCATCCCGCATATAAAAAGCATTACGTATATACCTACCGGCGCGTATTTTATTTTGTAACATCTGGAGATAGCCTATTAGCTATTATAGCTTAGTACACTTTTTGAAATATCTATAGGATGTAATATGTCAACATCTTCGGGATGATAGCAACAATTATTATTATCTTATGTAACATAAAATACCCCTCGGCTACCCAAAAAATAACCTATATTTGCCACAATATTCAGACATCAAATCTTTCACGCCGTTCTGAGGATATAGTATATAGTCCCAACCATATGTCTCTGGGTGGTATATCTTGAGAATATCCTGATATGTAACATAAGATAGCCCTCGAAAGTCTTTATGGCAAGCCAGAATCGTACATCCTTGGGCCATGGACGTTATTCCACCGGATATCTTCAGAATAAGTTGTGCTATTTGGAAATATCTCAATGATTTTTTAAAATCATATATGGTCATTTAAAAAAGTAAATAAATAGCAGTGCATACAGGGTGGTCCGAATTTTATGCAGGAAACTTCAAGGGCAGATACCTATAGATCTTTTTAAAATAATATGTGTTTGAGTGGTTACCTTATAAACATTGGTCTGGAACAGCCCCGTTTTAGAGATACAAAGTGCTGAAGTTGTTAAAAAAATGATTTTTTTTATATTTCCGGCATCTATTAACCGATCTCGATAAAATTTGGTACAGATTTGGTTTTCAAGTTATTTATACCAATACAATATCCCCTTGTGGCAGACACTTCTAACCATAATATTACAAGAATATTTATGTTTTGTAAGCACATCAACAAAATTATTTTCACTCCTTTCTACACCAGCTGTGAGGTAGNTTAATTATATAGGTTTATCTTTACCTTCAATCCTGGGCAATGGGCATACCAAGCACCATAACACTGAGAATGTTGTGCAGCCACACCAGCTGCTGCCCCATTCGGCCCTCTGAATACAATAGGTACATTAACTCTTCCTGCAGACATGTAAAAAGTTTTTCCAGCAGAATTTACAATTTGATCTATGGCTTGCATAGCAAAATTAAACGTCATAAATTCACAAATTGGCCTCAAACCAGCGAATGCCGCCCCAGTAGCAATACCTACAAATTACAGGTAAAATTTAATTACGGTACTTAAAAAAATATTATTAACTATTTGTTGATGTTATATAAGGTTACCTTTTAATCCCAGGTCATCATAGACACAAAATGATTTAAATTAATACAATCAGTATTATAGTCCATTTCCAGTATGAAATTCACTATATATGTAATGACATTGTGTTTAATAATGACACCTTAAAGGTAACCATATATGAATAATTATTATTAAACAATATCTATTAGGTAAACAACAAGCCACACACCACTTCTTTGCTATAATAAACATTGTTTAGAAATATTTTGCAAACTAAATCTAACCTGTAAAACCCATTTCAGTGATTGGTGTATCAATAACCCTTTTGTCCCCGTATTTCTTCCAAAGCCCTCTCGTCACTTTATATGCACCATCATATTGTGCTACCTCTTCACCTAAAATAAAAACCCTTTCGTCTCTTTCCATTTCCTCATCTAATGCAGAGTTAAGGGCATCTCTTACAGTCATTGCTTTCGCAGCGGCAGGTTTTGTGGTTGCAAAGTTTCTTCTGGCTATTAAGTTCACTTTTGATAGTATATTTTTGGATTTAATTGTGGCCATATTTGTTAACTAAACTAGAAAGGAATATAAAAAAAGTTACTTTCCAAGTTCAAGATTAATAAAGAAAATAGAACTTACAATTTTGATTCAAGGTGATAGAGGTCGTTGGGACGAGATGTGTGGCAAAGGATCTACCAAATGTATGGTTATCAGTTAGAGTTAGAAATTTAGAATAACTATACGTAACAGGACATGTGACGTTCACCAGAATTTCATCGTCTGACAATAAATTATACGTCAATCTTGGCACTAATGTTAGGTTAGGTTATATCATTTACTCAGCGAACTGTTTGTTCGACCTCAACGAATATAGTTTCATCCAAAGTGATTAAATTTTCAAAAGTTAGATGTCACTCTCACTGTCGAAAATTTCGTAGACGGACTACGTTCAGTATTGACAATTACATAACATTTTCGACGGCACCTGGTGGCAAATACTAAAATTATGACGGAACGAAAATGTTTTGGTTACATAGTTAGGTAATTAAGTTATGAAGGATTTTTCAGTTTCATTAGTGGAAGTTAGTTAATTGTGAGGCAATAGTAATGTCACATACGTTTTATATTTAACACATTTCCTGATTTAAGATTAAATAGAGAGCAGAGCTATCCAAAATATACAAATTATATTGATTTAACGTAATAAATGCCATTGTACTGATATTTTCCATTGAAAAGCTTCGGAGAAATCTAAAACTAAGTGTCAAAGTCAAACGTAATCTAAGAGATTACTCGTATCAGAAAAGACGATTGTGGTGTGGCGCCCTCCTCAAAGTCGTGATAACTGGTTTTCCAGATTTACTATGTTTGATGCTTATACTGAGTGTTTTGAGAAATGTTACCGTAAATTCAAAAAGCTGATACAATATTAAAACATTAGACAATTTTTTTCCTGTAAATGATGTCTCGTTATTACCATCCCGCATATAAAAAGCATTACGTAAATACCTACCGGCGCGTACTTTATTTTGTAACATCTGGAGATAGCCTATTACCTATTATAGCTTAGTTCACTTTTTGGAATATCTATATTTTTAAAATAATATGTGTTTGAGTGGTTACCTTATAAACATTGGTCTGAAACAGCCCCGTTTTAGAGATACAAAGTGCTGAAGTTGTTAAAAAAATGATTTTTTTTATATTTCCGGCATCTATTAACCGATCTCGATAAAATTTGGTACAGATTTGGTTTTCAAGTTATTTATACCAATACAATATCCCCTTGTGGCAGACACTTCTAACCATAATATTACAAGAATATTTATGTTTTGTAAGCACATCAACAAAATTATTTTCACTCCTTTCTACACAAGCTGTGAGGTAGTGTTCCTGGCGTTTTTAGTTTTCCCTGGAGGCCTAATACTCTTTACAAATAAGAACAATTTAAATCAAAATAATAATAAAACTATATTTACCAAGCAATAGCAACTAAACAGGAAACAAAATTAACGTTACGTACATACAACAATTGTTCAAAATGCGAACCACCCACATCGATACATTTCTGACATTCTATCATGTGATGGTTTTCTTTTAATTCATTACACCCGTCTTCTATTCGTTGCAGTAGTTGTGGTCTTGTATCTGTTGGAGTAGAATAAACTTTACTTACTTTTCAGATAACCCCAAACATAGAAGTCCAGGTGGTTTAGATATGGTAATCTGGCTGGCCAAGACACTGGACTCTCTGCACTATTATGGTTGACATTGGCATTTGGACTTCTACCTATCCATCGCTCCCTATAATTTTCATTAAGACATTCTTATATTATCCTCCCAGAACGCGCAGGAGCACCATGCATTGTATCCAGCTATTTTGTCGTATATATAATGGAACATCCTCTAATAATTCGAATAGATGGTTTTATAGAAAGTTTAGAAATGACTGAGAATTTAGGAGTGGCAAAAAGAAAGATCCACAAACTTTATTGCGAATTATTCCGAGCCACACGTTCACAGAAAATTCGTGTTGAAAAGATCTTGTCCGAATTTCATGAGGATTTTCTTGTGACCAAATATGCAGATTGTGAAAATTCACTACCCCTCGCCTTTAGTAAATGTACATTTATAATTATTTTAATTTGTTTTTATTTGTGAATATAGTGGGTTAGGTTTCCAAGGGAGACTAAAACGCGTAAGGAACTCTACCTCGTAGGTGCAGGTGGTGTGGAAACGAATGTAAAGAATTTTGTTGATGTGTTTACAAATTCCACTTACTTGTATATAAGCATAGACATAAATATAATTGTAATATTATGGTTAGAAATGTCTGCACAAGGGGATTGTATTGATATGAATAACTTGAAAACGGCGAATCTTAGGGAAAAAATTCAAGTTACCTTTTTACGTATTTTGTGCATTAGAATATAAATCAGTTACAGACTTGTAAAAATGCAGTGGCGTAGTTGTGTTTGTAAAAAAAGGGGTGAACCCTTGTCCAGTTGTACACCACTGGTTGAACCTTTAAAACTCATATTTTAGCGAATGTAAAGCCTACTATCATTATATGTACCAAATTTTATCGAGATCGGTAAATAGATTCCGAAAATATAAAGAAAAAATCAATTTTTTCTTTAATACCTTCAACACCCTGTATCTCCAAAAAGGGGGCTGTTCCAGAGCAATGATTATAAGGCAAACACATATTATTTTAAAGAGATCTGTCTGCCCTCAAAGTTTCCTGCATAAAATTCGGACCACACTGTATACTCTGAAATTTCACACATTGCTTAAAACAATTTAAATTTGTTTTTGGTATAGGAAATAAAAGTAACAGAAAATACTACAAAGTTTCTTGTTTTATTTTATTTTTATAACTTTTAGATATCAAAAGCTTTAATAGGTAAAAACAAAAAAAATGGAATGTAAAAATATAATAGTCAACCATTAAAAGTACTCCTTACGCAACATGTGACAATTGAATAATACTGCAGCAGTATACCTATATTAATGCCTCTACCTTACGAGTAAATCTAAGTTAACAATGATTAAGACTTCTCGAAAGATTTACATATCACAAAAAATAGTTCTACCATCTACCTAGCGATATAATCCTTTTATTATCGGCTTTCGAAAAAGAAAAGAAAAATACAAATACCTAATCTTATTTTTTTATGTGGGTAGGTATCTATTTTATGTCCAAAAATTACCGGCAAACAATTTAGAATTATCCTATAAAGCTATGGTCGACTGATGTATGAATGCGGTTTTTTTTTATAAAGCCAACAAAAAGGAATAAGCGATATCAGTTTTGTTTTGTTAACTAGCCATGATTGTGTCTTTCTGTATGAAATTTGTACACGATTTAACACCACGTAGATCTTCCTTATAGCTTCTGTTTATTACATATAATAAATTTGAATTTAAAATTTTTAAGAAATAATTAAACAAAATACTAGGTGTATTAATATAGGTAGGTACATGTTTCTCATATTACTGCTTTTTACTTCTCATCGTTGATTTGTTCCTTCTATTGTTTACCATCAAAACTTTCATCACCTATTGTAATGTTTAAAAATATAGAATGGTTTTTGTGAATCCTCGATTTGGCCAAGTTTTGGCTCTGGGGCAAGTTTTATGGCTAAATCAGTTGTTTGGAATACGTTTCTTCTTTTGGAATTCTGAAAATAAAAAATAGAATTTTTTTAAAACGACGGTCAAGTCAAAAGTATATCCTTATGCTTTCTTTCATTCAGGCAGTATTTTTTCAAGACACAGAGTTTCGGGATTACAATTAAAAAAAATATATAAAAATGAAGAAATGGGAAGTTGATCTAAAAATAAAATCTTTCTGAACCATAAACATGCCTAAGAGAATATTGAGGAAAAAAATGTGTTCCGATAAGATAAAAGTTTGAATAAAATTTCAATCATTTTTTAAATGTATCTTGAAAACGATGAGTCTAATTGAAAAAAATAAATGTCATGAAAAAGATCTAAATATTTTCGTTAAAAACCCACCCTTTCGTTATGCATAAGTATTTATATGACATTTTGCTACGGAAGGTTATGACATCATAAGTAAAACGATTTAGAAATATTTCTAAATCTATAAAAGATAGCAATTTTAAAGTGTCATCTTGTAATTGTTTTGTCCATACCTATCATAATAAAGAAACTTCTTTAACAAATATGTATTTAAAAATAAAAATATGTTTAACAACTTCTTTGTTGGTAGTAATAAATCCCTATGGGTGACTTCTAATATTCCAAAGTCAAGAAGAAGAGGGAAGAACGAGATTGACCGCGTTTACCCTATGATGATAAACCTCTACTAATTATCTTTATCAAAAATATGTATTATTTTTGTAAAAAGTACTTTCTCTAGTGGCAATTTAATTTGACTAAACAAGGTTAATTAATTAACTAAACAAAAAATTATTTCAAAGTTCTCACACCTTATTTTTGTTAACACATGCCTTTGTTTTTCTTCGTTTACGTTCATGAGACGCATGAAGATGCTGGGACGAGGAATTCCACTGAGAATTATGAACATGCCCTACATGATGGGTCTGTGATGATCTAGGAAAGTAAATTTCGCTGACCTGCGGAAATGGATCCATTCGATGCAGATAATTTTCAGCACTGCTTTGTTGAATATTTTCATTTTGTATTGTCTCCTCCTTTTTAATTTCATTCTTCTGTTCTAAGTATCTTTCCAAGGCCTCGCTAAAACAAGGAAATATAAACTATGTTTATTTTCTGGATTCAGTTTAAGGAGGAAATAAGAAAATGAGAAAATCAAATGTTACTCTGCTAGTAAATTTTGTATCTAATTATCTATTTTTATAAACAATTTTTTCTCTCAATTTGGCCTTTATAAAATAGTTTCAGACAAGGTTCCGAGGAATAGAATTAATTCTTACTAACTTTAGCTTTTGTTTTATAGTCCCTTACCTGTTATACTCTTCGCAGTAGTTTGATAACAAATACTGCAAGGAGCAAGAATTACGACAACATTCTTCAATAATTTGTCTCTTCACGCGATGTCCTAGAACAGAAAAAGAACGAAAATGTTGAATTCAGTTAATACTATCACTGAAGCGGGTAGCATAGGGCATTGTCTTCAGTCTAGAAGAGAATGATCGGACACCTTTTACAGTAATACATTTTTCCATGAATTTAAAGAATCGTTCAATAAATTTAAATTTTAACGGCGAAGAGCAAACACACGCATGGTTCCGTTGTAATCTTAACTTTATTCAAGAGGGTCAGAAAGTCAAGTATTATGCACACT